TATATATATATATATATATATATAAATACATATATACACACACACACATATAGCACTACGAAGAAATATTTTGATGCCTTGGTCATTAAAGAGAACTTTAGAAAAAGAATATGCCAAAATTAAGCACATTTTTTCTAAAGTTTTAACATAAACCTGTAAATATGAATAAATAAATGTTCTATAATGAACCACATCAAACATATATACTTGGTACACAATAGAAAAAGCTTGTGATAAGTCTTCAGCATAGGAAGCCACATTCCAGCAGTATCCTGTGTTCAAAGAGAGTTTCCTTCCTGTGAGAAGATAATACCTTTAAACTGCTTTTCTTTTTCAAGTGGAGGTCTTAAGTTCTTTGGATGCTTCCTTTTTTACACTTAAAAGTCAATTGTGTACTTTAGTGATGACACATCTGTTTCTTACAAGCACACCTGTTCTCAAAGCACACCTGTAACCCCCACCCCACTCTCTGCATGAGAGGGGCTCTGTGATCTCCTCTCTGGTCATTATGGGCTCAGTTCCCACGAGAACAGCCGTAGTTAGCATTCACGTAATGTTTGAGTTTAAAACCAAGAGATTTTTAAAGTCTCTGAATCTGAAGGAGAAATATAAAACTACTGTGGCCCCCTTTTTGCTCTCACCATTTTCAGATTGCCACCAGGTCTTGAGGCGGTTGGGGGCAAAGGTGGTGACCACGTTCTCAATGGTATGGCTGTAAGGGTTGCTGTCTTCATTATACGCCTCCCTTGAGTCACATGTGAAACATTTCTTCTCCCCCTAACAGACAGAAAGCAGAAACTAGTTAGTCACAAATACTAATTATAATGCAGAAACAATGCAGTTACCCCTGCACAAAGCAAGAGAATTCAAACATACAGTAAAGACAAGAGTACCTTTATTTGTAACCCTAATATAAAATCCTTTTAATGAGAAGAAAGCCAGGTATGTTTTAAGTATATTATTTAGGAACTATTTTTTTATCCATCTATAATTAATTCACAAAAGGTGTTTTAATATTTTAATACTATCCTTATAGGCTTTTAATCATATAAGACACCTATAGATGTTAGTGATTTTTTTATTGATTTGTTTGTTTAATCATAATACATTTAGTGATTTATTATATTAGCAACTATTTATTGAACATGTTAATCTGTTCCTACATGTGTGCATTTTGAAATAAATAAAAGAGAGCTACAGTTCCCTGTGAAACAATGAGACTAAAATGTATATTAGAAAATAGGACGAGGTGGCCTAGTGGTGCAGACACTGGAAAGGTTGTTAGTTTGAAACTCAGGCCGGGGTTGACGTCATACATCTCACTGTATTTCATTGCTCCAAAATATTTCTGTATCGATGCTAATCAATATGTTGGCTTCAGTCTTTTTTTTCGTGAATTTTGAGAATCCCCAAATCTCCCGACCTTTCATCTTGGTTGCAAGGTAAACACAACTAATGTCTGATAAGAAAAAGTAAAATAAACTTCACCAAAACTGACCCAGGTAGACTATAGTTCGTCACTCCTTACCTGAAGTTCGTATTTCTCTTCTCCTCCCCCAACCTGCTGCGGATTATTCGGATAATCCAGAAAATGAAGCTCTACAAGAACCAGCAAACATCTGTGTTAACTTTACACATCTGGCAACACCTGCCTGAAGGGCTTGTCTCTTTTTAATTCTTCTTTTCGTTTCTTACTTCTTTCCGGGATGTTCTTCTCTCCTCTCTCTGTGTGGATTGATTGATTGAGAGAGCTTTCTGAGTGGAAGGGAACATCGACCCTCTGCTGCCCTGATTGGTCCTGCACAGAAATGGTCACTAATAAATGGCCGATGTAGCAATAAGCAAGAGATAAGAGCATGAGTTCTGTTTAAGTGCTATTAATTTCATTTTTTCTAAATAACTTCATTTCGAATACAGTCCAAAGTTAAATTGATACCACACGCATAAAAAAATCTCAAATACAAAGATTTATACAAAATCAGAATTCCCTCTACTGCTCAAGATTTAAGGAAAAAAAACATAGATTCTTGACTTTATTTTCACAGACCTATGGCATATAGACATTAAATATGACTATTAACATTTAGAAGAAGTAAATCACAGGATCAAAGGAAAAGTATCTGCAAAAATATGTATTTACAGCTATTTTTTTTTTCTTTTGCAAAAAGCTTTATCACAAACGTTTTAAACTGGAAATTATTCACTTATGGAGCTGATATTAGAAAATGGAAGAATAGAAAATCCCTTTATTGTCCCACAATGGGGAAATTCTGGTGTTACAGCATTAAAAGGTTATAGCAGCAATGGTCACACAATGTGGACCTTAGAAACGTTTATAAAAATAACAGAATAAGTGACAGAGTTAAGAAAATAAACAATAAAATGTTGTATTGTACAGTGTTTTTACAATATAAATACTGTGTATCTGGAGAATAAATAATCAAACAGCTATGATAGATATGTGAAAAATAGCAGCAACACCAGAGATGTGCAAAAAAATGACAGCAGCATGTTATTTAAGTGACTAATATTGAGTCAATATGCAGATGAGAAGTTGAAAAGTGAGACTCAGGACAGAAATTAAGCAATGGATCATTGTGGAAGTATATTTTGTTTTATTTTTTTGCGTTATTTTTGTGTCTTTTTCATTGGCATCAGAGCATCGTAACGAGGGCAAACTAATCAGCCCTCGTTATAAGAATGAGAAATATGGCTTTTTTTCTTTATGATTTTACAAATAAAGTTATTTGAAGCTCTGAGATGTTTTGACAGATATTTGTATGATTTCATAGTTTTTTTAAATAGAAAACATACGTTTCAATACTACCTTGTTTTCCACACTTTTTTATATCTGATTCAGCCTAAAATTTCCCACAACTGTGTGAGTTTTAACACCTTTTGCACCAAATATCAGTGATTTTTAGTTCTAAAGATGTTATTTTTATGCAAAAACTGAGCAAATAGGACGGCTGGAAACAACAACAAGCAAATTGAAATGATAATTTGGGACACAAATATAAGATATTATGCAACCCCATTTTAGAGTTTTGCAGTATTTTGTTTTTACTTGAGTTGAAAATAATATTGCATCCCTTGCTCTTAGACTTTTGACCCACATTTTTAAATTCTCCCCCTTTTATATCTCAGACTAGTTTATAATTTTTCATGCAGTTCTAAGGAATTGTTGGAATCTGAGCAAATCCAGTTAAGTGGATCCATTTAGCGCTCAATGAAAAAAACATCTGTCACTAGAATCCAGCTTCCTCCCCTCCCAAATCAACAGCTCATACTTAAAGCCTGTGCTCATCCTCGGAAGAGCTCAATGTGACTGTGCCGTCATAAAATCACAATTCACACACAACCAGTCCCCAAAGGAGGGTCGATAAGAGGAGAGTATCCCCCTACCTCCCTCGGCTCTTATCCACACAGGGCAGGGATTGTGAGCCACACAGAGCTTTTATTGTGGAGGGGGATGTCTGAACGCCCACTTGACAAAACAGAAAGCAGCTGTTATGCATGGGCATCCTCCCACACACAGACAGAATAGCAGCTAAAGCCATTCATCTCAATTATAACTAGAGGAAGAAGCAAATCCAGAGCTCTGTGTTCAAAAATTTGAAAAAGTAGTTTCATTTATTAAACTAGATCGTTGAACAATAAATAACCAGCATCAGACAGTTCATGCACAATAACTCAAAGCCATAAAAATGCCCTTTTCAATACCTAACTTATTCAATGACTGATTCAACAACTAAAACATTTCTGAACTCTGCTAACTTATTAGAAATGAGTAATAAGAGCTAAAAACGACACATATAGTAGAGGGAAACTGAGCTAAGCTAAAACTGCAACAACTGTAATTTATAATCATTATTAAAAATAAATCAGTAAAAATAATTTATCAAATTGGTCCAAGAGATTGGATCATAGCAGTTTATTTAATAGGGTATATTATCCTAATTATTTTATTTACCACCCATGTATTCATCAACTTGTTCCGGTCAATTAAAACTATCAATCAAGATAAAAGTTCACATTAATTATACCCAACTGGTCTGATCAAGGTAAATTTTCTTTCTTAGATTGCCATTTCTAAACTCCAGTGAAAATTCACTGGATTTTTTTTCTTTCCTGACATTAACTGAAAATTCTTTTTATTTTTATTATTCATTAAATTACATGCATCTCCTTGCTTCTTAGAAAAACTGTTTTATGCGGTTTTAATGTTTAGTGTATCCATTCACAAGCTTCTCATAACAGTCTGCTGAAGTTTAGTCCTGCTCTTTTAGACAGATCTGCTGTAATTGAGTCATTTAATCCACAGATAAACACATGATCAGCACTAAAGGTTTTCTTTTGGGTTGGGATCTGTTTTTTTTTAATGCTTTTTATTTATTTAAGGATCCCCATTAGACTCCAAGAGAGTAGAGACTAATCTTCCTCGGGATCAATTTCATCAAAAATCATCACAATCAGTAAATACAACAAACTCAGAGTAGAAACATCATTAAAAAAGACAACATAAACAAACAAACAAAAGAAAAACAAGATGTTCCCCTAGTTAAACAAACAGAATTACCTTATTAATTATAGATTTCTTAAGATTTAATTTAAAAGAGACATGATTATGTAAAACTCTCCCAGGACAGGAATTAAGAAATGGATCACTGTGGAAGTATAACCGTGTACTTACCAAGTTTATTCTTTCACAGTATCGATAAGAGAATAGATATAGGTTTGGGAATTGATAAGAGTTTCACGATTCCGATTCTCTTATCGATTCTGTGAAACAATGAACTTGGTAAGTAAAGTTTAATGAAAAAGCACTACTGTACAATTTAAGGAAATAAACTAATTTCTGCCTGATTTAAATAAACAAGCGTCACCTTTCTCTCGCTCCCTGAACAGCGGAGCAACTTGGTAGCATGTTTAATAACCCCAAAGAGAGGTAAGAAAGGTTTATTTCCAGAAATGGCATATGATTTACTAGGAACCACATTAAGCACAGCCAGGGATATAAAACTAGCAGAGTTGCCTTCCATGGTGGTCGTAATTTTAGCTTCTGTCTGGAAGCATCAAAAACACAGCATTCGTTAAAATGTATGCCATGTTGTGTGCGCAGGTGTTCCTGCATGTTGGATGTATTTCCTCCCATGGATGCAATGATCGCCAAGCGCCTTGTTGCCATCTTTTTGTTCCTTAAAATAAAGCAAATCTTTCGATCACTTTGACCGCTGTTGTTTTGCTTTTCTAGACTTATGCCTGGTCACATCGTACTTGCTTACTGAATGCGTAACGTGACGTAGAAAACGTGACCTCTGGTGCTGCCTGGAAGCGTTAAGGGAATCGTTAAGTGAGCTGCCATGGAATTGGAACACATGGAAACGGTTCTAAACAGGAAACCGGTTTTCGATTCCCATCCCTATCTGTAGATAAGGAATCAAATCGCTTCACAGAATCGACAAGGGAATTGGAATCGTGAAAATCTTAATTCCCAACCCTAATTTTAATCTTCTCTGCATTAATTCTAGTTCTTGCTGTAGGATATTATTAACCTGATACTGATCTGATGATGATCTGCATAGACAGGCATACAGACCTTATGCAACACATACAGTGTTCTCTAAAGCGGAGGTCTTCAACAGGGGGTCCGTGACCCCTAGGGGGTCCACGGAGGTACTGCATGGGGGTCACTGAAGTTTTGGTTGATTAAACTTTTTTTTTTATATTCCCCCCTGCAATTTTTCGACTAATTGAAATGATAGATAAATGGAGGCAGAAGATGTCTTTCAGTCATCAATGCACACATTCAGCGACACACAGGAGCTCTTTCAAGCTGGGCACCCTTTCATTTACAACACCTGTCCCATCAACAAGGAATCAGAAATACTTTAATAATCCCAGGGAGAAATTACTTTCGTTACATTATGTAATAGAGTGACTATAGGAACAGTTTGATATAACCCCATTTCATGCAATATATATAATTAGGGGTCCCCGCTCCATCTTGCCATCAGTTTGGGGGTCCTTGGCCTGGAAAACGTTGAAGACCCCTGCTCTAAAGCTTTTTTTTTTTTTTTTTTACACAGAGTAAATGTGACTTTAGGTTAAAAAGGCTTTTTTTGTCAATAGAAGTTCGTTTCTTACTTCCAGGTGCGCAACGATGCAGAAGCGCTCCGGCTGCTGGAGGCCGCAGGTGGAGGAGGCGGTGAGTTTGTGCGCTCTGCCGATCAGCAGGTCACCGGTGGCGGGGTAGCAGCTGCTCTCTGTGCACATGTCTACAAACTCTGGCTCTGGCCCCTGTGCTCTGACAGGACAACACAGAGCTGCAGGAAGGAGAACAACAGTTAAAACTATCTCTCTACATTGCTGCTTTATTTGGCTTCAATTAAAATAATATTTTTTCAGTTTCCAAATTAAAGATGGCTCAACATCTAGTTGTTTGACTTTTACTATATAACATATGGTTCACATTACATGTTCTGCTGCTGCTGAGGAAACAGTTTGGAGACTTATCACATGTTATTCATCCCATGAGCTTTTAGCAGAACTTTTTTTAAAACTAAATTTAAAGTTAAACTCACCTAAAGCTGTTAGAGTGAAGATGATGAGCCACATCTCCCAGAGAGGCGCCGAGTTTTCTGGGAAACTTTGATGAGTCTTTGCTCCTGGCAGCCGAGGAGTGTGTGTGAAAATCAAGAATGAAGGGAGTTTTCTTGAGGAAAGTTCACTGTTACATCCCAACAACTCCACCCAGCTGACAGCGGAGGGCCAAGAGGTGACATAAAGCAAGCTCGCCATCTGCTGGCAGAAGGAGGTAACGCACAGAGATGTTAGAAAACAACCACAAAGCTGGAAAAATGGAAAACAGAAAAGATAAAACTTTTATATAGTTCTTAAACGGTTTTAGCTTTACTTAAGTTCAGAAGAGGATTAAGGCCACTGAAAACAATTTACATATTTTTTTATTATTATTTATTCTGACTTTAATCTAAGAATTCTGACTTGAATTCTAAGGTTCAAGTCAGAATTCTGTGAAAAAAGTCAGAATTCTGAGATTAAAGTAATATTTCTGAGATTCAAGTCAGAATTCTGAGTCTGTGAAAAAAGTCAGAATTCTGAGATTAAAGTAATATTTCTGGTTCAAGTCAGAATTCTGTGAAAAAAGTCAGAATTCTGAGATTAAAGTAATATTTCTGACTTTTTTTCCTACTTTAAACTCAAATGAATAAAACAAACTGTTTACCTTTTTTATAATACTAATATTTATTGTATATGTGGATTAAGGGAATTAAAAAATTAAAAAAAATAAAGTCTATTGTTTTCTGATTTGGGAATAAAGTCATAATTCTAAGAATAAAGCCTGAAATCTAAAATCAAAGTCAGAATCCTGACTATTAATAAGCCTATTTTCATTTTATTTATTTATTTAAATTGTGGTAATCCTTCTCAGAAATTTAAAGAGAGGCAATTGTGCTTAAATTTTCTGGTTTAGTGCTTGCAGCATTTATAAAAATCATAAAACCAATAATTGCAAAGTGTTTTCTATACACAAGAAGTTAGTTTTAGTAATTATCTCCAGCACATATTCATACAAAAGTGTTGGTTTATACCCTATTAACGTTTTCACATTAAAACTTCATATTTAAATTTAAGTTGTAGGTGATATCTATAGGTACTTTATTCTCTGTGTCAAAGTAAGTTTGCAGTTGTGCCATGCACTTTTAATTAGTGTTGCATCGATACCAATACCAGTATCAGACAGAGCCCCAATACTGCCCTAAAATGGTGGTATCGGCAGTTCTTTATATAAATGTACACAAACATCAATTTCAAACAGATGGTATCGGTATTGGCGGATACTGCACAGAGCAAAAGAATGGCATCGGTGCAACAATACTTTTAATGTTCATATGATACCATAAAGCTATGACATTATTTTGTGAATTATTGATAACCTTATCCATAACAAATCTGACTGTTGTGTTCTCCTTATCATTTTGTTTGTTCTGTTATAAACTTCTGAGAAAATCACAGAAATTATTTAGTAATCAATTAGGCAACATTTAATTGGGTTATTGACGTAAAAAGAACTTAAAATGACATATATGTCAAACCAAAACAGGTATCTTTTTTTTTTCTTTCTTTATTCTCAACTGGTAAAAATAAAAGTGAATGTTTTAAAGAAAAGGAAAGGAGGTATTCTGTATTTAATATGTTATGTTCGGGAGTTAAAATAAAATTGCCAAAAACATAGTATTTCACATTAAAAAAACGAAATTATTTTATTTTAAATGGCAAAAATAAGTAAAGATTGTATTTTAGTAAACATTTTTTTTTTTTTTTTTTGCTTAAACGTTGCTTTCCGTGTCTTAGGTTTATCTAACGGACTCCAAAGCGGTACTATTTAGACATCTGTATAGTTTCAGTCGAACATATTCATAAGTCGGACCGGAAGCAGCGTGAGGTTAGCGAATCATTTTCCTAAGTGCTGCAACTGAGGAGTTTCTATCGGGGCATTTCTCTTGTAAGTTGTGTTTTATTACGCAGTTTACATACACATATCTCATAGTTAACTGTCTATATTTAAAAAACAAGAACCCGACCAGTCTTCTCCAGTATGTTGAAGTTTTGATCCGCCTGAATCCAGTGGCGGGAGACTTTCTGGGGGTCCAGTTTACCTTGGAAAGTCGTGCTTTGACGTAGCGTCCACGCTTCCACCACAGATGCTTACCTAAAACTGCCAGTTTGGTCTCTTTATTTCCATCTTTGACCTACATAAACGCATTTTAAGTGTATGTAACTTAATTACAGCAAACAGATTTTATAAAGCCTCTTGCCATATCTACTCTGCTCTCATCTAGTAATTTGTTTGAAATAATTGTTGCCATATTTTACTGTCTGCTATTTTAATTTTCTAATTTTCTTGAAAATTTTAATTCTCCCAGTTCAGAATGAGTAGATAAAACACTGCAGATGAAACCTATTTCTGGAATTTAAACAATACTATAAAAGTTTGTTTAGGAATCTACCTGTTGTTTTTTTTTCTGCTCATCCATACGTCCATGAACGCATCAGTCACACCTTAATCCCCCTCTTTGCTGGTAACCCATCCATCTGTTTCTCCATCCACCCACTTGTTTAAATGTCTTTCCATCCCTTCATCTATCAGTGTGTACCCTGAACTATTGGTCAACGAATCGATGCATTTATATATCTATGTTCTTCTATTCCTCTCAATGTCAGTCTGTGTACATCTAACTATTTTTGCCTCTGTCCATTTATTTGTTCATCTGTTTTTGATCTGTTTGTATCTGTCATATTGCTCACCATTAGGGCTGGGTGTTTTCCCCAAAGTCCTGAATCGATTCGATTTTGATTCATACAGTTCTAAATCGATTAATCTCGATTCAATCTGTTTTTACAATAATGAAAGTGGTTCAACTGTGTATCAAAATACTCATGTATTTTATTTTTTCCTGTCATATTAAACACAAAGTGCAAAATTGTAATTCGGACAGTTTAAACTTGAGATGTGAACAAAACTGTCTCAAAAGTACAAACTTGTTTGTGAAACGTGAAAAAGTGAAGCCTCACTCAAGCAAGCAGACGTGAAACAGCGGACATTTGTGAGCTGCATTATCTCCAATGCACAAACCATATTTGCAGCGTTGTCTGCATCAACTACAGGGTGTTTGCTGGTCAGCCCTCATTTGTTAATGTCTGCAGTCAACCTATCGGCTATATTTGCAGCTGTCTGTCTTGAAGTCATCTTGAATGCATCTTTCCTGCTCATTTGAATGTGAACATCACGCGGGTCACTATAAAACTAATCGATCTCATTCCCTAGACATCGATTTTGCAAAAATTGTAAAGGAATCGATTATTTTATCCAGCCCTACTCACAACCTATCCTTCCTTCTTTGCTTTGCTCCATTCACTGACCCATCTGTTTTTTTCCCCTCTTAAATCCTCTCCTCCATATATGAATTTGTCCTAATCAGTTTGTTTTTTTGCAGCCCAATAACTGTCATAAAATCTGGTGTAGATGTATAAAGGACATTTTTATTTATACTTTAAAAACAGACTGGAATGGATTGGAAACTTGGACAGTTGATGTCTGGAAAAGTCAGACACTTTGCTTAGAAACTGTAGAAATTTTGTTTAAAGCTGCCAGTCATTAACTATGCCAAAGAAAAAACAATAAAGCAATATACTTCAAAGGTCCACCCATAAAAAGCATTTCTGAGCTAGGTGCGATCAACAGACATAAATATCGTCTGTTGGATGTAGCCTTATTCTTGTCTTATCCACCTTGGTATCCAATATACTTTTGCATTTTTTTAAGATTTGATTTTGGACTTTTCCCCTTTATTTTTACATCTCCGCTGCGAAAATGCTGACTTGCTTTGCTCTGTTGTGTCCTTTTTTTAATATCAACCTTTCATTCATGTGGTCTTGTTCAGATAAATACACAAAAACCTCAAGTTTACGAACAAATGGAGCAAACGCTATTAATTCAAAAAGCTTTACCATTCGCATTAAAAAGAAGAACAAACAAAAAAACACTTCTTTTTTTTTTCTTTTTCAGGCTGGAAAAGTTTTGTCTTGAATTAAGTTTGTTTGCTGGACAAACAAAATGTTGCGCAGTGCTTCAGTGCAGGTGAGATTAAGCCTTTTTTATTCTGATATACTGGTTGTCAAATGTTTTTCCTCTTATAAGTACCTTAAACGTAGGTTTGATCTGCAGCTGCCATTTTCATGTGGTGCAACAAAAGATGTGTTTGCTCTAGAAATAGTTTGCAGTGGCGAAGCAGCTGCTTATAATTTGGATCCTGTACAAGATGTTTTTGCTTCCACAGCCATGCATCTTATGTTTGAAGTATGCATGTTGTATATTGTTGTAGATTGAAACCAAGCAGGTTAATTCTTGCTCTAAGATTCATTTATAAATGCACCGCTCAACTGCTCTGTGGGGAAAAAAATGACTTCAGTAAACAGATTATTAGTAATTGTTTTAATTTGGGTTATTGATAACTGTAAGAACAATATTAGAGGCTCAATATAACTATAATCAGGAATTAATATTTTCATCCATATGATGCTAATGAGATGGCCGTGCTTTTCTGAGTTTTAACTGTCCGGCTATATAAAGGACAGCTTTAGTCTGAGATAATCTTTTAGGTCTTTTCTGCTTCTTTGTTTACATTCAATCAAGACGAGAGATGAGTCACCTTTCCCGCATAGACATGTTGTTGTAAAAAGCAACAGAAGGTGAACAGCTTTTGCGGAAAGGACTGGGTACTCGCTTTGTCCCTCATCCAGGAGTCCAACAGGGTTTGTCTGCTCACCGCTCTCAGAAGCGATAGCTGCTGAGAACTCGCTGCTCAAGCTGTGAGCTGAAGACAAAAACTCCAGAGGGATCGGTGCTTTCACATGTTGTCGTCAAAGTTCCAAACAACACAGAAAAAACATTCTAGGTTTGCTTCTAGTTCTTTTTTTTAATCCTACGGTAGTGAAGGTTAGCCAAATTAGATCACCACACCTTACAATATATATTATTTAATGAAACGTGATAATAGATTTAATATTTTGTCACTTAATAAAAATGCTTTGAGTTCCCTGCAAACCAGCAGGGGGCGCTGACGTCCCACTGTTCGGAAACAACTCATCTGATGAAAGGATACCTGTTGGTTTTGGTTGCAATTAATTAATTATAGGGTCTAAAACCATGTCCATGTGTTATCTCATATTATTCACAAATTAAAAAGAAGTGAAACATTTCTGTCTAATTTCATACAGATGTTCCGGCAGCTGGTGAGAAACAGGAGCACAGATGCAAACCTCATTCTGGAGAGATGTAAGATGAAGATATCTTGGTTCAAATAGCAATAACATTAAAAGAAACACAAATAAACTGAATAGAACTGATTTAAAGCATTAAATATAACCCTGATTGCAGCGATAAACCGAGTGCAGCTGCTGGGGCGAGTCGGACAGGACCCTGTGATGAGACAAGTGGAGGGCCGGAACCCCGTCACCATCTTCTCACTGGCCACAAATGAGATGTGGCGCTCGGGGGACGGAGAGACAAGCTCAACAGGTAGAAAATAAATAATTCTCATATACGTTTATATTTCCTTTTGTTTGTTTTTTTTTTTCGAAAAGCTTTCTATTATCTGTTTTCTAATGTTTAAGGTTTTAGAAAACCTTTGGTGCATATCCCTAATTCTATTGTAACTTGGTTCTTTTTGTGCAGTAATAATTTTAGCCCGTAGGGGTCAGCAAAGTGCTTAAACTCATGACAGATGACAGCAGCTTCAGTTCTGACAGCTGCTTTTTATCCAGAGCATCTTGTTGGTGCGTTGAACTGCAGTTTAGTATTCAACCTTCATGCTTTATTCATCACCCTCATTAGAAATGATAAAAGCAAGCTGCTTCTGAGCTTGACGTGACCGAAACAAGATTTTTTTTATTCTGAATCTGCACTTGTGAATGTCAGAGACATGGTCGTGTCCTATGAGGTTCCGCTCATGTTCCCAATACAAATGTTTCATGTAGATACTGTTTGTCTCCAGGTGATGTCAGCCAGAAGACGACGTGGCACCGCGTCTCAGTGTTCAAACCGGGTCTGAGGGACGTCGCATACCAGTACGTCAAGAAAGGGTACGGACATGATTGACTAAATGGGAGCTATTTCCCCTCTCTTCAATGAATGCTGGAGCTACGCCCCCACCTGTGACCTTATTTTGCACATTCTGGTTGAATAATCAGAGCCAGATTACATATTAATCTGTTTGGGAATTTGTTTGTCGTGGATTATCTCTACCAGGTCCAGGATTCTTGTGGAGGGAAAGCTGGACTATGGAGAATATGTGGACAAAAACCAAGTCAGACGTCAGGCCACCACCATCATCGCAGGTATTTAAATATAAAAGTAAAACCACTAAATGTTCATGCTAACCTCTTTTACAAACAACTCAAATGTCCTGTTTGTTTTTCCTTAGACAACATTGTTTTCCTGAGTGACAACATCAGAGACCGAACCTGAGCGACTCTCCTTCTTGCATCCAACTACGGGACAACTTCTAGTTTTACTTTTCTTCCTCGTACCAAAATAAGACTTAAGTACAAACAAAGTTAAAGAACTGTTTAGTATGAAGGGGGGCTTTAGAAGTGATCACATTGGACTGTTGGGCCCTCTGCTGGTGGAAATGAAGGCGTTAAGGAGGAGAAGAAAGAAGATTGGTCAACAACACGTTTGATTGTTCTATATGTACATAGCAGCAGTTTAAAGCTGTAAATAAACACGGGCTGTTGTGTTTTACTTTTAAGGTTTTCACTTTACAAACGGTTACCCGTGGGCTGTTTGTTAATCCATCTAAGCTGCTTCAAAGTTTTCTTCAGTTTAAAAAGCTGAACGATTCGTTTGGAGCAACATTTGTTTGTATTAAAGAACAGTATTTGATTTATATGTTTTCTTTTAAATTTTAAGTATTGGAACAATTTTAACTATTATTTTAAACACACAAATTACAAAGATACAGGAGCGTCCATCCACAAGCTGGGAATGCTCATACTTTTACAGGTTTCATATGAAAAGCACAACTGGTCTGAATTCACTGTGTTTATGCTGTAGAATCACAAAAAATATGCAAACATTCATGTTGACTTTCTGCAAGGAGAGTTAGCTAAAAAGACAAAGTATTTACTGAATGCTGCATCCCAACAGACTGCAGAATTTGTTTTAAAGGTGATTCACAAGGCAGAAGGAATCAAAGCTTCAAGAACCACCATGGGCTGCAACTGTCACATTCCTTAGGTTAAGTCGCTCCTAAATCTGACATAGGAAGCATCCGAGCTGAATATTAAGAACAAATGAGGAGTGTTCCCCTTCAGTCTTTCCTCTTTGATGTTTTTTACCATAACATTTAGCACCTATATGCTTAAGAATGTGCAGAGGCAACTTTTTGACCTCTGGAAAAGCTGTTTCTTCTCAGTTTGACCTTAAGCTTAAAAATCGGCTCTTTAATCTCGTTGGAGACGCATGGCTGCAGGTCATCTCTGCAGAGAACAGTGTAGCTGACTGAAACATTTCAGAGGCAAATTTAAAGGAAATACCTTTAGGGTCAGTTTCATTGCTGCAGTGTTTTGTTTTTCCTGTTTGTAACTGAATTTAAACAGGCAATAGGTTCATTTTTTGCTCAATATGCTCTGTCACACTTTCAGTTACATCGCTGTCACTTCCTTCCTGAGCTGACTGGGTATTTTCCATCTACTTGTTTATTTCTTTATACTGATTAGTAGTAGTGGTTGTTTTGAGTTGATTATTGTCTGACATCAGTTATGAGATACAATGCATGTGATTTAATATGGAGAAAAATGTTTGATATATAAAAAAATATATATATTTCTGATTTTTAATTTTTTCAATTGGAAAAACCAGTTTGGTACATAATTATTTCCTGATAAGTAAAACAAATACTTTCATCAGTCAGGGGCGGCCTTAACAGCAAGGTTGGCTTGGCTTTTAGTTATTGGTTGAAGGGATTTAAAGGCATCTTATTATTGTCTGGGCTACTTGTCATTTAAACCAATAGGCGGCCAGGATTGTGCTATGAAAGGTGCCTAAAAAACAAAGGAGCCATCTGATTGGTTAGATGGTGATGGTGGGCGGGGTATCTGCAGAAGGAAACCTGTGGAGTTACTTGGATTGGTAAAGCTCCAACAGACTGATACCAGAACGGAAATGAGAGCAATACATTACGTTAGTAAATAAAAGTACTTAATATGAAAATTGACTTTATTGATCTAACGGTGGAGAAATTTACTTCTTTCATCGACTCAATAGTCAAAAAGAAGGTGCCAAAAGGAGGAAAAGATGCATACAATATATACTCTGCATCCATATATATATATATATATATATATATAACAGTTGAAGTCTCTTAGTTATTTCTATCTATCTATCTATCTATCTATCTATCTATCTATCTATCTATCTATAACCTATTTTATAGTTGATACCCAGTGCAATAACGCGAAAAAAAAAAAAATGTATATATATAACTACATATACACATATATGTAGTTATTGCACTGTTTAACTATAAAATAGGTTATATATATATATACATATATATATATACATATATATATATATTTTAATACCCATGCACTGGGTATTAAAACTGCTACATTTTATTAGCAACATACATAAATTCTGAATTCATAAATAAATGTAAGAAATTAAATTTAATATATTTTTCTTTTGTCAGCATTTTCTTTCAAATTTATTTGTATTGCTTATTTATTTAATTAATGCTGAATAATGGACCCTTGAAAAAAATATTCTGATTATTCTAACTGCCTAGCATATGAATAGTCTACTTTGATGTCAGTAGAGGAAAAGTAAAATATGTAATTATATACAGTGCTGTAGTTTAAACTAAAGATAATTTATCTCTATTAGTATTAAATGTGTTTTGTTAGCAACAGGGAAAATTTGCATCTTGAGAAATATTCAGTTTCTATAAAAACAGGTAGTTTTATTTATATATATATTTTTTTGCATCTTTGATTTTACGATGTTAATTTATATAAAATAAAAATAATTTTAATTTGAAAGTGCATTAGAAACNTAAAAATAATTTTAATTTGAAAGTGCATTAGAAACGTATTAAAAATATTTTTGTAGCCTGATATTCTTGTTTGTTTTACTTTGAAAGGTCTAACAGGAAGCTCAACTTTGCTACAGCAAGACAATTTCAAAGTGCGTCACAAACAGCTGGAAAAGCTGATTCAGGGTATAGTTTATATTCATATGAAAGCATTTATTTGCTGTTTAAACTGCTCGGTTTCAGTCTGTTGGACATACGTAGGCTTTGTATAGATTTTTAACCTTTTTTTCCTTAAATCTTCGCGTTTTTCCTCCACTTCCGGTGCCAGACTCCTTGTCTCCGCCCACACATTCCTGCGTCTGGGTAAAATCGGGAGGAAAAGAAAAGGGAAAATCTAGCAGGCTGGAAACGGTGAGTGGATCTGGAAGCGGACAGGAGATGAGCCCAAACAATAACAACATTCCTCCGCCTGAAGCCGAACCCTGAGACAACAGCTGCTGCACAAACCAGCGCTCACTTCATTTTGCTGAATCACACAACTTGTTAACAACTTTTTTCGTTCTTTTTCTATACTTTTTGAGTTTTTAAAACTTTGAGCTCTGCTGTGGAAACTAGATAGGGGGAAAAAAAGCAGGAAAGAAAGCATGGAGATCCTGGACAGCAGCGAGTCGCTGCTCCATTGGGACAGGAACCTGAGCGAGCTGTCTGAGGCCGGGGAGCTGGACTCTGTGCTTTACACCAATGTAAGTCATCGATCAAAGCTATAGATCAGCTATAGATCAAATGGGAGGGGGAGGGAGGGTGCTGATTGGCTGCAGCTTCTCACTTTGATGAGGAGGGAATCATGATGCCCTGCTCTCCATCTGCAACTCTGAGCCTTGGGGTCCAGGGTGCAACAGGTTTCTGCTGCAGAAGTTTTTACTTCTCCAACTATCTTATGCTCATATACACATAATAATAAGTAGTTCTTGTCTAATTTAATTGGTTTTTGTTGGTTTGCATTTAAAAGCATGGAGATAATTTGAGCATTTACCTGTCATGTTTATCCATAGAGTGAAAGAAGCTTAAAATGGGAAAAAGCAATTGGACACAAAATGTCAACAAACAGTTTTCACACATTTTTACTATAACTTGATTAGGTGTTTTTTTTTATTATTTGTATACAGCCCCATTACTTCTGGCAGCCAAAAAATGACATCAAATGCAGTCAGAAGTAACCTGTCGATTAAGTTAAAGAGCAGAAAGGAGAGAATGAATCTTTTTAAACTAGTAAAGAAGCACTTTATAACTCTGCAGGAGCTGAGGAGACCCAAAACTTTTCTGGTCTCCTTGCAAGATGCAACATATGTCAGAAATCAAACGCTGGTCATTATGTTGAAGCATCTCAGCAGGAAAGCAAGGTGAAGGCAGCATCATGCTGTGGGGATATTTGCCTGTGCAGGGATACTGGTCAAAATTGATGGGAAAATTGAGAAAAAGCAACCGTGGAGGAAAAGCTGTATGATGCTGCAGACTGAGGTTGAACTTGAGCAGAGCAAAGCTGGGACTGAATGCTAAAGCGTGCTACATTTTACAGAGGTTTATCTTTAAAATTAACTGATAACTGTATTTATTTATATATTATTTCTTTGATCAAGCATATAAGCAAGATCTACAGATGTAATCATTTATTTTATGTATTCAAAATTGCTTTATGATTGATTTAAACAGAATCTGTGGAATTAAAATAGGAATCAATGAAAATCAGATGTGCCAATGTTTTATATCTCTAAGGAGATCAGTTCCTGCTTTTATTTCTAATCTTATTTTTCCCTAAGTGAGCAAAGAAATACTCCACATCATTACACCATTTCAAGTTCTAGGCTATTTACCTAAACGTGACACCAAATTTCTTTTTATAAATGACTTTTTTGGTATATTTGATTCTGCAGAGTAATTTCCTTTAAACAATTTCCATGGTAAATAATAGGAAATAATTGGTATATAATTGGTTTGCAAGCAGTTCAAGGATAAAAATCTAATTATCTGGGCAGTGAAATGATAAATATATAAAATTTCTAGGCAATTCTACGTAGTTTTTATTTTTTGTACCTAAAAGTCCAGCCCTTTTTCTTTTTTTTAAACTTGGTTCCTATCTATTTTTTTGTATCTCCTCATGTTCAGGTTTTATGAACAGCTGATATCATTAGAGGGCAGAATAAACGAGGAGATAAGGAAGGTTCCTCCTGTCTGTAAGCTGAGCTCTGCATTTAAAGGTGCACGGTTATATAACTGGAAGTCAGTCTTCCAGCAGTTTTTCTCCTGTGGGCCAGAAGGAGAAAACGGAGGAGCTTTGTGTGTGTGGAGGGTTTCTCAAAGTGTAAGAACAGCTGGCCAAAGACGGAAATCAGACACCGAGGAGGCTGAGTCAGCCTCAGACTCCCGCTGGCTGGTTTTTCCATCCCATCCGAGGACATCGCTGATTATTCTCACTTTCCCAAACATGTCTTCCTTCTAGATCTTTTACTTATGCCTAAAGAAGGTTTGCTTTCCTGAGAGCAACTTATTGTCTCCATATGAGGCACGCGTTTGCTTCCCTCAGACGGGTGAAAACTTGTTGCTGTTAAAGTTTTTTCTTCTTTTTTTTTGGGCTGCTTTAACCTGAGGCCACAGAGACCTGCGGGAGCTTTCCCCAAATAAGACCAAAGGAACGGCTGCAAGATAACGAGCCTGAGCTGCTTTCAGCGACAGGCCTGTTTTAACTAGAAGCTGTATTCATTATCTATCCATAAGGTGGACTTTTAAAAGAAAATGACTCAAACATTATGAATCAAACTGCTAAATTTCTAAATAAGTGACGCTACTTAGATATTCATCCATGTCTAAACATGCAG